TTAAAAAAAAAAAAAAAAAAAAAAAAAGATTTGACTATTCTCTTTTGCGTTTCACTATAATGAGAAATACACCACCCTTGTGTTATTTGGATTTTCCCCTCATTTTTCCGTCTTTAAAGTTTAGTTTTAATTTTTCCAAGTTAGACAGTCACAGAATTTAAACAGTCAGTAGTTCTCTTGTAAGGCTTCTTATAAAACCACAACAGCGCCTTGCCTACCATCTTTTATTCTTTATCTCAAGAATCAATCATTTTCAATTATTTTAGCTGCTTCTTTTGGTAATTGCCTCCTTATCTCTAAATAATACACTTGTATGTGTCTTGTTTGTTTTTCTTTAGTGCTAGGCATTATCCACTAGGTTGCCGTCAAAAATATGAAGATTTACCTTTTTCTTGCCTAATCCCCATCACCTACATGCACACTTCCTTTTGTTTCATCCTCCAATTAGTGTTATATTATAATTTTTGTTAGATAAATATCCAGTGCCTCTGAGTCATGAAGTGTACTAAGATTATTTTTCATTTTTCCCACTATCTGTTTTCCCAAAGTCATTATTATCATCTTGTCAGTTTTCAATTATATATGCTCAACAATCCATAAGGTCAGACATCTGGAATTCTACTGGTTCTTTCTTCTTAGAGGGGTCTCTTCTGAAAATTTACTCCATTATGTATGATAGCTTTGTAGGTCTATTGCACATCTATCATCTGAGATCTGCTGTCGTCTTCACTCTAGAGATTTCCCTGCCCTCCCATTTAGGTTGAATCACCTGTTTCCTGGATTCTATGTCTTCCTCTTTCTTAAGTACTTCCTTAATTGAGAAGAAAATCTTCTACTAAAAAAAAAAAGTACACGAAAGGTCAACATTTTGAGACTTTGCAAGTGTGAAAATATTTTTGTTTTGCCCTCACACTTGATTGCTAGTTTAGCTGAGTATAGAATTACAGGCTGGAAATCTTCTTCAGAATTTTAAAGCTATTAATCCACTGTCTTCTACCTTCCTAGATTGCTGTTGAGAAGTCCACAGCCATTCTGATTCTAGATTCTTTGGATATAACCTGTGTTTTCTTCTCTGGAGGAAGTTTTTGGAATCTTTGTTCTAGTGTTTTGAACATTCATGATGTTCAAAATATCTAGTGCCTCTAAGTCATGAGGTGTACTGAGATTTTTTTGTCCATATGTTTTTTAAATAAATGATATTCAAAAGATGTGGAAAAGATAGATAAGGTTAAAAATCAAGTTTTTTCCTCAAATAAATAAGTTTGTATAAATGTATAAACAATTTTTTTTTTTTGAGACAGAGACTCAAGCTGTCCCCCTGGGTAGAGTGCTATGGCATCACAGCTTACAGCAACCTCCAACTCCTGGGCTCAAGTGAGTCTCCTGCCTCAGCCTCCCAAGTAGCTGGGACCACAGGCACCCGCCACAACGCCTGGCTATTTTTTTTGGTTGCA